CTTTCTTTCTTTCTTTCTTTCTTTCTTTCTTTCTTTCTTTCTTTCTTTCTTTCTTTCTTTCTTTCTTTCTCTTTCCCTCCCTTTCTGTTCTTGAGTCATTCGTTAAGTGAGTCTTTCCCACATTTTACAACTTTTCTCGTCACAGTCATGAAATGACTCACTGCAGTCGATAAGTTAGCAACCCAGTTGTTAAGTGAATCTGGCTTCCCCATTGACAAGCAGAAGGTCGCATGAGGCCTGTACGGTCATAAATACGAACCAGTTGCCACGCCCCTGAAGTTTGATCCCATGATCATGGGCATGCTTGCAAAAATCCTAATGGTCGTAAGTCCCTTGTTGACTGATAACTTTGATCGGCCACTCCATGAACCGTCGTTAGCCGAGGACTAGCTGTATTCTCTGCCACCCGTTAAGCCATCCCAAGTAGGAGCCGGCATTGATTTTCCATCCAGACCAACCAATGTGTCGACGGCCTTTGCCGTCTCTCTTCTCCTCTCTCTTGCCTCCCAGGTCATCAATAAAATGATTGCCGAAACGTCCAGCGGCGGAGTCACCGCGAACGATGTCCTCATGCACTTCTCCATTCCAAACTTGCCTTTCGGAGGCGTTGGTGAGTCTCAAAACGGAGGGCGTTTGTGTTTCCTACTTACCCTATTTCCCCCCAAAATACAACCTACCTTGAAAGTAAGCCCTAGTTTGATTTTTTTTTCACATGCTCCCAATATAAGCCCTACCCTCAAAATAAGCCCTAATTCCCTAAGATCCCACCGTTCCAGAGTGAATGGGTAAAAATTAAGCTAGGGTGCCCTACTACTTACCTTTGGACAGTTGTAGCCAGGCCTCACACACCCCGACACCTGCCTTGCTGGCCCATTTCTTCTGCAGCCGGGAAGGCTGGTTAGGCTTTCCTGAAGGCCTCTGGAGCTGATAAGAAAGCTCAGGATCGATCCAGAGCTCTGTTATCATCTGCAAAGGCCTTCAGGAAAGCCTTGCCGGCCGCAGAAGAAGCTCCTGAAGGCCTCTGACCGCGAAAAGGAGGCCGGGTGCGACACACGCAAGTGAGGTTATAGTCAGTAGATGACATCCCCTGAAAATAAGACCCAGTGCCTTTTTTGGTGGCAAAAATATATATAAGACAGAATGTCAACTCCTAAAACATTCCTATGCCTGTTTTGAGTTACCATAAACAGGGGGAAATCTGTAGGAGCATTACAACAGTTGAAAACCAGACGTACATTCCACCCTCGATCTCAGAGTCATTTGTTAAGTGAGTCTTTCCCCAAAAAGGGATTGCATGATCCCTGGACACTGCAACCGTCATAAATATGAACGAGTTGCCAAGCGTCTGGATTTTGATCACCTGATCATCCTCAGGCAGGACTAGAACTCACTGTCTCCTGGCAACTAGACCCAAGTCACCCAGCCAGCTTTCATGCCTAAGGGGGAATTAGAACTCACCATCTCCTGGTGATTGGCCCAAAGTCACTCAGTCACCTTTCATGCCTAAGGCGGGACTAGAACTCACCATATCCTGGCAATTTGCCCAAAGTCGCCCAGCCAGCTTTCATGCCCATTTGGGGGACTAGAACTCACTTTCCCCGATTGCTTAGGCCAAAGTCACCCAGCTGACTTTCCTGCCCTAGGCGGGACTAGAACTCCCAGTCTCCTTGTGATTGGGCCAAAGTCGCCCAGCCAGCTTTCATGCTTAAGGTGGGACTAGAACTCCCAGTCTCCTGGTGATTGGCCTAAAATCACCCAGCTAGTTTTCATGCATAAGGCAGGACTAGAACTCCCAGTCTCCTTGTGATTGGGCCAAAGTCACCCAGCCAGCTTTCATGCTTAAGGCGGGACTAGAACTCCCAGTCTCCTGGTGATTGGCCTAAAATCATCCAGCTAGTTTTCATGCATAAGGCGGGACTAGAACTTACAGTCAGCTTGTGATTGGGCCAAAGTCGGCCAGAGGGCTTTCACGCCTAAGGGGACTAGAACTCTCCTTCCCCTATTATTTGGGCCAAAGTCGCCCAACTGACTTTCATGCCTCAGCCAGGACTAGAACTCACCAGCTCCTGGGGATTGGCTCAAAGTTTCCCAGAGGGCTTTCATGCCCTAGGCGAGACTAGAACTCACCGTCTCCTGGTTTTTATACAGTTTCTCTCTCCCCAACTATGACCCCCTTCCCTTGAAATCATCTTTCCCTCCACAGGTAACAGCGGCATGGGTGCCTACCACGGCCGTTTTGGCTTCGACACCTTTTCCCATCTGCGCGCCTGCCTCATCCGGAACTTCAAGATGGAAGCCATGAACAATATTCGGTACCCTCCGAACAGCCAGAAGAAGGTGGATTGGGCTAAATTCTTTGTCCTGAAGCGGTTCAGCATGTGGAAGTTCGGCGTTGCCGCCCTCACGGTCCTCGGCATTGTAGCCGCCATTGTCATTAAGGTGAGTCCCCGGCCCAGGATACGTGATGTCGGCCCCTCCGAAGTAGGCCGAAACTAGAAATGGACGCCTCCACAAGGCTTCCGGAAAGGTGACGGCTAGTCCTCGATGGACAACTGCTTGTGTTAGCACCCGCTTGAAATGACAGAGGGTCCTCAACTTACAACCGCTGGTGTTAGCACCTGCTTGAAATGATAGGGAGTCCTCGACGTACGACCGCCAGGGAGCCCGGCATTTCCTGTTGCTATGCAGGAAAAATGGAGGGTTAATGTGAGCCTCACTGCATTTTCTGACCTTTTCTTGCCACAGTGCTTTGAAGGCATCTCCGGGCGTGACTCCAAACAGTCCCATAAACGAGCGGTCGTATGTCGAGGACGGTCTGTCGCTGACAAACAGTGGTCTTGCGGATCGTAGGAAGCCAAGCAGGAGGATATCAAGTTAGTATTTGGATGAGGGACAACCAGTAAATCCCTCGGCTGGAAAATAGCCTGGGAATTTGAAAAGGGAACATTCCAGAAAAAGGCAAGGCCAGATCCACTCCAGATTGGTGCCAGTAAAAGAGGACTAAGGTATTTAAGATGAGATCAGGAGTCGCCCTTGATGTGCAGAGGACGGAGCTCAGCTCAGGTTACAGCACCTGTCAGTCCGTCTGATGATGAGGCGACCGGAGGCTTATAACATACAATGAACAGTCTAGTGGAGAGAAGGACCAGGGGAGACCGGATATCAGTCTTCCAATATTTGAGGGGCGGCTGCCACAGAGAGGAGGAAGGGGTCAGGCTATTCTTCAAAGCAAAAGAAAGAAAAGGAAGAAGGAAGGATGAGAGGGAGAGAAAGACGAGAGAGAGAGAGAGAGAGAAAGGAAGGAAAGAGAAAGGAGAGAGAGAGAAAGAAAGAAAGAAGGAAAGAAAGAAAGAAAAAGGAAGGAAAGAAAAGGAAGGAAGGAAGGAAGGAAGGAAGGAAGGAAGGAAGGAAGGAAAAGAAAGAAAGAGAAAGAAAGAAAGAAAGAAAGAAAGAAAGAAAGAAAGAAAGAAAGAAAGAAAGAAAGAAAGAAAGAAAGAAAGAAAGAAAGAAAGAAAGAAAAGATGAGAGAGAAAGAGAGAGAGGAAAGAAAGGAAAAGAAAGAAAGACATCTGAGCAACCATGGATGGACAGAAGATATGTCTAGTTTAAGGAAAAGAAGGATGGGGTGACATGATAGCAGTCTTCCAATATCTCAGTGCTTGCCGTGAAGAAGAGATGTCAAAAAAGAGGTTGAGACTCTAGAAAGAGTGCAGAGAAGAGCAACCAGGAGGATGAGGGGACTGGAGGCTGAAACATACGACGGACGGTTGCAGGAACTGGGCCTGGCTAGTCTAGGGAAGAGAAGGACCAGGGGAGACAGGAGAGCATCTTCCAATATTTGAGGGGCTGCCACAGAGAGGAGGAAGTGGGGTCAAGCTATTCTCCAAAGCCCCCGAAGGCCAGACAAGGAATAATGGATGGAAACTGAACAAGGAGACATTTAACCCAGAAATAAGGAGAAACTTTCTGACAGGGAGAACAATCAACCCATGGAACAGAAGTTGCCTTCAGATGTTGTGGGAGCTTCATCACTGGAGGCTTTCAAGAAAAGACTGGACTGCCCTCTGTCAGAAATGGTTTCAGGTCTGCTGCTTGGGCCAGGGGTTGGACTAGATGACCTACAAGGTCCCTTCCAGCTCTGCTAATCTGAATCTATCTAAGACGATTGAAGGCCTGGAGACTAAAACATACGATGAATGGTTGCAGGAACTGGGCCTGGCTAGTGTAATGAAGAGATCATGTGGCCCTGGGAAGGAGGCGGCAATGGTCGTTAAGTGTGAAAAAATGGTCACAAGTCACATTTTTTTAGTGCCAGTGTAACTGAGTGGTCACTAAATATTGTAAATTGAGGATTAGCTGTAGAACAAAACAGTTTCGAGGAATAAGCATGGAGTAAATTTTACCTATGTTTCTTGATAATGTTTCCCACTAAAAGGGGGTGATTTTGTACCATTAAGAGCAGGGAACGGTTATTCCTCAACTTATGACCACCATTGACATCCCCCCAAGATTTATGTTGTTAAGCGAGACAGTTAAAGGCATTTCACAACCTTTCTTGCCACAATTGTTAAGTGAATCACTGCGGTTGTTAAGTGAATCTGGCTTCCCCATTGACCTTTGCTTGTTGGAAGGTTGCAAAAACGGGGATCTCGTGACCCTGCGGGACTCTACGACTGTCGTAAATACGAGTCCATGGCCAAGCGGCCAAATTTTTCACCATGCGACCATGCTGTAAGTGTGGAAAAACAGTCATAAGTCGCTTTTATCCAATGCCGTTGTAACTTTGACTGGTCATTAACTGAACTGTTGTAAGAAGGTCGCAAAGGGGGATCGCATAACTCCAGGACGCTGCGACCGTCATAAATCTGGGTCAGTGGCCAAATGGCCGGATTTTGATCACCCTGAGGGATGCTTCAGTAGTCGTTAAGTGTGAAAAACAGTCCTTAGTCACTTCTTTCAGGGCTGTTGAAACTTCAAATGGTCACTAAATGAACCATTGTAAATCGAGGATTACTACGTCTATTCCGTCCATTTTGAGATTATCCTAATTTATCAGACCCATTTTATCGGACCTGACTAAAAATTTCTTTGAAGTCACACCTCTGGGGAAAGGTATTTCTCCTGCTTGGGAGGGGGGTTGGACTAGATGACCTACAAGGTCCCTTCCAACTCTGATTGTTTATTTGTTTATCTGACTTATGACCCTGCATTTAGGAACTATTCCAAAAAAAAGTGATTTATGGCCAGTCCTCACACTTACGACCACATTTTTTAAAAATTGGCACCTGTGTATGATGGTGGCATCATCCCAGAGTCACATGATCACCACCTGCAACCTTTCCCACCAGCTTCTGACAAGCCAAGTCAATGGGCCAAGACAAATTCGCGTAACGACCGCATGATTCACTTAACGACGGCAGTGATTTTTGCTCAACAAAAACAGC